ATATTAATTTAGAAATTAATGAATGCAACATTTACATTCTAATATATCTACCGGTATCAAATAATCAAACTTCATGTAAAATTTCCTCGAAGTATCTAATTTTTGTTCATGTGTTTCAAAATTAGTTAGTTGTTGTTATGGGATTGGATCCAGCTAAGTAAATCTACAGATGTTAGGGTTGACTTTTTACTCCAGAAACATGTGTGGGTAGTCCTGTTTGACCACGTTTTTGACCCCTTTCCCATTATATTTGCCAAAAAGGATCACATTTTCTTAAAGTAAAACACGCATAGAACATTTCTGCATAAAAGTCAAACTATGATACTTTAAGAAAAATATGAGATAAATGCGGTCAAAGTTGGAAGAAAATAACAGAAATCTGTTTTTGTAGAATTGCATTCGGCGCATTTTTGGAGAACAAAATGACAAAATGCACGTTTTGATTTAATGAAGAGCAAAGAGAATATTTCCTACATATTTAAAACCATGAGTCCAAGTTCAAGTGAGGTGGTTAAATGAATCTTAACCGATTCCACCTAGAATGGAGGGGAGTTTCAACCAACCTATGGTGCTATAAATGTATCAACCGAAAAAATATATAAATATATATATTTAAATTATTATTATTTTTAGTTGTTTTCTTTTATTTTCTCAAAGATAAACTTTTTTGTTTTAGAAATTATTTTTAAAAGATAATTTGTTCTTAGATTTAAAAAAAATAAAAAGTAAGAGTTTTATTAAATCTTCATCTTTTTATGTTAATCCTTCTTTATTAACTAGAGTTTCTTATAAAAGCCCTTAAACCCTACGTTTTATTTTTCTTAAACTGTTAGACCCAGTTTTCTCTCCAAGAGAAAAAGAAAAGAAAAGAAGAATAATTTTGGTATTTTCTTTCAAAGATCGATAAGCTTTTTTCTTCCTGATTGTTTTAGTTTTAGTTTTCTTGATTTGTAGTTCTTTAATTCAGTTTATTGGGAAAAGTTTTAAGGTCTTTGTTTTTTAGAATAAAAGATTTTAACGACTTTTTACCCTAAAAATTTTCCATAATTTTTGGTTTCAATGTTTTTTATGAGACTGTTTTGGCCTATTTGAAGGCTCTTTTTGAATAAAAAGTTTACCTATTTGTATCTCATAAACTATAGTTTATTGTTCAGATTTTTCTATAAAAATCAGTAAATTGTTAATTATTTTATGGAAATTGGAAGTTTTATTTTATAAAACAGAAAATTTTCTAGATTTATAATCCCCAAATTTTCAATTGATTATAAGGCTTTTAAACTTGTTTTGTTGAGAAACTTTTTGTAAATTTAGTCCGTATTAATTTATACTGATTCTTGTAATTATAAAGGTTGTTATTGATGATTTTAGAGGCTTTTTAACCCAGTTTTCAGATCTGGTTTGTAGCCCCAAATTTATACTTTCCTAATTATTTTCATAAAAAAAGTGTTTTGAATAGAAAAATTGGGCATATTAGATTTGGTTAGTAATTGGTTGAATTTTAAATCATTGGATAGGATTTAAGGATTGATTTTGAATATTGGTTGTTTATAGGCCTCTAAGTTGACAACTACCAAAGAGGAAGTTAAAAAGATTTGTAGGATTTCTGAAAGAGGTAAGTTATTTATCTTATCCCTTCGAAAAGTGTTGTAAGTGATTTACACTATCTCTTCGAAAAGTGTTGTAAGTGATTTACCATATCCCTTCGAAAAGTATTGTAAGTGATTTACTGCATATGAAATTGAAGTTTTATTATGGATTTGAAAACTAATTTGGCAATTGAAATTATGTTTATTTGCAAAGTATTTGAAGTATTCTTAAATGATTTGATAAAGTTTTGTTTAGATTTATTTAAAGGTTTGAAATTGATATTTTGTTTATTTGTGAAATATTTGAAATCATGTTTTNTTAGTTCAATGTTTTGAATTAATTTAATATTGAAAGTAAGTATTTGTTTTGCATTTTTTTTGAAAGATATTTTGATTGATTTGATAGGGCTATCCGGATATGCCATAATTTTGTTTTGAGGAAGGTTTTGCTTATTTGGGGTAGTAACCTAATTTGAAATTGATGAATTTCTATTCTGGCTTATTTGTGGGAAAACACTTTTGTGGTTTGGCATTCCTTGGGAATGAAGATTCATGTGTGTGTTATTCACTCATATGACCTCACACTTAAGTAACCGTTTTGTTTGTTCCGGTCGATATTATTTCGACAACTCTGTTCAGGTCGATATTAATTTTACAACTCTGATAGAAGCTTCTGATTGATTGGTGTTACCGACGGTAACCACATATGTTCTGTAGGCTACCCAAATAATGCAACCTTCCACTCTGATTTCGAAAGTATGAATGAATGTGAGATTGTTTTGAATGTTTGAATGATTTAGTT